CGGAAAGAATCATAAAAAGTAAATGTTTGCATACCCTTGGTTACAGACTTCTGTATTAATTAAAAATACAGTGAGCAATTTCATGTGCATGCATTTACCCTGAATCCCATGTAGGTCATACAGATGAGCAGTATTTCAGGTCATTTTGAAAGAGAAACTCTTTAGGATGAATTATGTGGTGCTCTGTGAAACTGCCTGATACTCACTGAGCACTGCGCACATGGTGGCAAAATCAACTCCTTGGAAACCTACGTGTGGAAGGCCATATCCTTGGGAAGACCTTTGCAGGAGCTTCCAATGCTGTAACATCTTACCAGTGCCAGCACCGCACTTGCCTGCCGGGACAGAGCAAGTCTTTCTTGATCTGTGAACATCTTTGATCTCATTGTCTTCTTTCTGCTGTTTGGGTGGATACAGCCATCACTAGCACGTGTTGACCATGCATGGTGCCTTCTGGAGGATGGTGTCAGGGGCTCTCAGGAGGGTGTGGGCACGGGCTTTCCAGGGACCGCTTGGTTTCAGCAGGCAGAAGACAAAGCGTTATGTTCATTCACTCCCACTTACGAATCCTTTGCAACCTCTGCCCTGTCTTCTCATAGAATAGAAGTGTTCTTGAAATGATGGTGTTGATGAGTTACTAATTCGTGCTTTATGGATTGTGTCAGGAAAGCATTTTTACCGTGATGTATTTGCCAAGTCTATAAAAAGAAAAGGGGATAAAAGCCCAAGTATCTGCTCTTTGCTTTGCTACCAACATGACACTGAGAAGTCTTCCAGGAAGAATCAAGCTTCAGCTCCTTTCAGTGTATCCTGGGCAGAAAAAAGTCAGTAACCTAAATCTTTCACAGCCAGTTGTGGACTCTTTACTGTGGTCGTTATTCACACAAGGAACCATATAGTCTGTAAGGAAGCGTATATATATAATCATGCTCAGAATCAGAATAATCACTATATAAACCACTATATCATTGAAAAACTGGGCCTTGGAGATTGAGAGTCTTCTTAAAGTAACGAGCTGCAGAGATCAGCACTGTGCAAAGCAGAACAAGTCATCTCAAAGTCAGAATACCTATTCCCTGCAGCTCTCCACAGGAGGGTGGGTATTTTATCTAGGTCCAACCCCCCTTTCTCTCCTTGCAGTAACATTTCTGTTTCATAAAACTCATCATGACTTCTTTTCCATTAAAGCAGCGATTCTTTGTCGTATGAAATCTTCCACTGTCACCCCAGTGGTTCTGTCACCATCCTTTAAAAATGTCTCCACTCTTGATTGGGCTAAAAGAGAGAAGCACTGACATTTGTATGCTGTACCCTTTGTTTCTGAGATGTCCCAAGGCTCTGGTGACAACTGTGAAGTCTGGGATAGCCACAGCGTTATTGCATACATCGTGTTTTCCACTAGTAAGAGCTAGTGCTCATCCACAGCCATTCTATGCAATGTTTAATCTAGAACACTTTATATTGCAAGCAGCCCATTATAGAAAAACCTGTTATTTTTATGTTTCAGATGCAAAGATGGCTTGAAAGGATTTACATACTCTGCACTAAAGTAAGTAAAGATACTGTGAGTATGTAGTTTAAAAGTGAATATTTGGAGGAATCATACATGGTGGCAGCTGTGTGAGAAGAGTATTCCTAAGAAATAGGAAAGGGAGAAGATCTCTCAGAGGATTTCTCTCTGGCAAGAGAAGAATCTTTATATTTGGGACCATCATTAAAGGAATTGCAGACACATGGTTGCTTGTTTTTGAAGGACCGTTAGTATCACTGGCATTCCCGATACTCTCCTGGAAGCAAATGGCTGCTGTGTTTTGACCTGGAGTTTATTTGCTGCATTTACAAAACGTTTAATGAATACAAAGGTAGTTCTGTAATCAGCATCCAAATAAAGCGTGGGTTCCTAGCATATTTGTTTGAGATATCCTCAACATGTCGCTAAACCTTGACTCTGTTGTCGTGGTCCAGGCTCTCCTAGAACTTACTTTGTGAAGCCATATTCTGGTGTTAGTCACTCTGTTGTAGTTACACAAAGTTCTCCCATCTTTGTGGCTTGAGTCAAAAGTAAAAAGACACGTTATTCTTGCTTTTCCCTTTCATATGCTGCTGCCTGTCTGCCACTCGGATCACAGAATGATTTAGGCTGGAATGGACCCTAAAGTTCATCCAGTTCCAGCCCCCTGCCATGGTCAGGGACACCTTCCACTAGAGCAGGTTGCTCCAAGCCCCTGTGTCCAACCTGGCCTTGAACACTGCCAGGGATGGGGCAGCCACAGCTTCTCTGGGCACCCTGTGCCAGCACCTCAGCACCCTCACAGGGAAGAGCTTCTGCTTATTATCTAATCTATATCTCCCATGTCAGGTTAAAGCCATTCCCCCTTGACCTGTCCCTACATGCCCTTGTAAAAAGTCCCTCTCCAGCTTTCTTGTTGGCCCCCTTTAGGTACTGGAAGAAAAGAGCTGAAGTCAAACAAGCCAGATTTGCTATTGTTGGGAGTGGGAAATATAACATTTACAGCTATGAAACAGCTACATTAGACAGAAGGTGCAGTGGTTAAATAATACAGTCTGTAGTCCAGAAATAAAAACAATCCAATGGCAACATGCAGAAACTGTGCTTTCTGAAATCACCAGTTCACAGTCACATACTGAAGGACAAAGCTTTTATACCTTCATCACCCTCAGCAAGACTAGCAGAGTGTAACTTGCATTGTAGTGCAGAGTGTTTGGAAACATCTTGCTATAGTGTCCTCCACTGCCCTTGATACACAGTAATTCTACACGTAAGGTGAACTGGTATATTGACAATATCAACTTCTGGGTGAAGAAGGAGGGCTGAAGATGAAGCCAAACAAAACAAAGCTGATGCTCTTGGTGGGAGCAAAAACATTTTGAAGATTTTACAAAACAGATATTTTATAAAAAATATTACAGTAATTATCAGGCTTTATGTAACCCCATTTTGCTGGAGAGAATGGAGATATTTTGTGTGCCCTTTTTATTTTCTTATTTAGTGTTCTTCCTTTGTATGTGAGATGGATTTCCCTAGTAATGTTTTTGTTCCTAGCTCTAAAACATTCCTGGCAGCAATTGTCACCGTTATCTGAAGTTTAAATATGTGTCAGTGGAGTGATCTTTGCAAAGAGATACAAGGTTTGGCAGCTGTATAGGGTGCAGACCTGTGGGTAACTTCAAGCTTGTCTTAAACACTTAGACTTAACTGGACTTCATGTATTTCTTGGAGTTATTTATATAATGGTTGTTCTGTTTTCTTCCTTCAGGTTCCTTGTAGGTAAAGAAGAGAGGAAAGAAGAGATCCCCACTCATTCATTTTCACCTGAAGCAGCCTTTTCAAAAATAGATAGAAAGATAAAGCCCTGTGAAAAAGTATCGCAGCCAATGAACATCCTGACTCTGACAAAAAAGCTCATGGACAAAGTGTGAGTCAAAGAAAACAACAAACAGAACAAAATGAATCATTCTTCATTTAGGTCACTTTAATGTTTTGTTACATTCTATTTGACAGTGTTTTGTAATGCTTTTGTTTTGCATTTCATTGTTACTGGGTTGTTAGCAGTGACAAATGATAAACTCTAAGAAAAGCAGAATTTAAATACATTTATGTCACAGCAAGGACTTGCAACGTGCAGTTGTCTAATGAGGGAGAGTAAATTCAGTCAGTTCTGAGATGCAGAGTGGTGGTTGCTTTTTCTGCAGTTTTCAGCACAACCAGCTCATGGGTGGTTCTGCTGGTGCTGATAGTGATATTAAGTAGTGATATTAAGGAGGGGAAGTTGCACAGCAGCAGACCTTAGGTGACATCATCTTTTTGGGGAGCTACACTCCTGTATTGCATATGGGGAACTAGGTGAGAGCAGGATTGGTAGCATGTGGCCTACCTCCATTGTCAGGAATTGCAAAGCAACAGCTAGGCAGCTGAAGTTAGGTAAGATAGGTTCCCTCCTGGTCTACAGGATCCAAGTTACTGCCCTTTAGTATGAGCTTGAAGAAACGACACCAGGCAGCTTTTCAGTGTACTATGTTCATGTGGTGTACTCATGCTGTGCTTGATTGGTCAGCTCAGGCATGTTGGGTACCACAAGGAGACATTGATTTACAGAGAAGATGGAAAAAACCCTGGGGTCTGTTCATGCCACAGTTGTCAATCCTCACTGCCTTTGACCTCTCCATGAGCAGGTTTATGACCATAAAACATAAGACATGCAGGAGAGAAACAGGTCTTCTGGGTGCATTGTGTTCTCAAAGTAGTGACTGTCTTACTTGCTCAGCTGATGAACAAGCATGAAGTGACCTACATCACATGGTGACTTCCTATGATTTGCTGTGGGGTTTAATTGGAAAACATGAGGGAGGTCAGCAGTCGCTTTTCAGGCACAACTGTTCTAGGCAACAAAAGACCTGCAAGGGGAAGACAGCTCCAGCCTTATGCAGGTTCTTTCAGCTGAGTTGCTTGTACCTATTTTGTCTTAAATACCTCTTACTCAATTTGCTAGAGATAGCTCATAGCTCCTCCACTGTTCATTAAATAAAAGGATCATGGGACTGTGGGTGAACAAGAGCATTTTTTCTTTAAGGTTTTGCAATTCCCAACACAGACATTGAGAAAACTTTCAGATTCCAGTCCTACTGCTCTCCCAGGTTTCTCTTCCATATGGTTCTTTTCAGTATAATTGAGTCTAAATGCCTGTAACCTGATCACATTCTCATTACAATTTTTGCTGCATAAACTGACCTCACAGATGATATATGGCCATTACACTTTATAGTACACGATTCAGAACTTCCAAGATATTTGACTCAGTATATAAATTGTGTAATTTATTTTGCATTAAAACTTAAATACTTGGCTATAGCAAAATATAATGTTCAGACCTGGTATGACATTACTTCTTGTAATTCTACATAATGAAGGGCTAACAACTGTACAATCCATGTGTCCCACCATCCCAAGCCAGTCTCTTTTAAATGCTCAAAGTCAAATTCTCAGTCTGAAGTAAGAGCTACATAAAAACCTACGTAGTAGGAGAAATAGTGTAGAAGTGGAAAGCTTGTAATTAAAAGAAGTCTCACGGGGTATATATCTGCATTTGTATGTTCTGTGTTGCCCTCCAGTGAACCTTACAATGGTATGAAAGATATCAGGATGCAGATATTAAACACCCTTCCAGAAACATGGAGCAGAGACAAAATGCGACGGGTCACGTCACTTCTCCATGGTGATCACAGCAGAAAATTTGTTCCTTAATTTTGCATTTAACATGTAGCATGGCAAGAGGTTGGGTCCAAGTAAGTGTGCAGACACTTCTTGCTGCACAACTCGAGTATTGTTAGTTTTTATTATCCTTTTATAACATCATAAAAGTTCACAGTGCCCTTCAGTGGGTAATGGGGGAATGAGTGGTGGGAAAATAGCGCTTTATGTATTTTTAGGCAAGAAAAATTTATGAAGTCTCCTGTTGATGATGCTGAAAACAGCTACGGGTTAATATGTGTTTCATTGTGCTCTTTGCAGGTGCAAACATGGCCCAAGGCACAGATGCTGTAAACACTACGGAGATAATTGCATCTCGTATTGTATTAAAGTAAGTGCAGAAAAAGTTAGATTGACAAACTCTGGCAAAGTATTTAGCCAGAAAAAGCATATACGTACAGTGAGAAAGGAGCCTGTTACTCATTCTCCTATTGAAAATGCGGCAAGCCTGAGAACAGGTTTTCTCAATTTGGGACGGGGTGGTGGTGGGGTTAAAGTTCCTGGTCTCTCAGATTAGCTGAAGTGAATGAATAACATACAAATGTGTGGGAAAACATGGGCTAGCAAGCAAGGAACTCGTTTAACTATGTGATGCACTTGAGGGCTGAGCCCACTTGTGGTTCCACCCGAAATCACTCACCAGGAATGTGCTGCTCTGGCAAGCTGCTGCCCGGCCCCACGCCCGCCTCTCCATTCCGTTATTTTAGGGGCTCAGGGTAATGAGAGATTGGTCACAGTTGCTGCTCCCAGGAAGAGCTGTTCGTGTTCAGTGGCAGAATTCACCCCCCATCATTAATGTGATCAGCGCATGTTTTTATCCGGAGGAATCCTTCATAGACATTTAGTTTGGCCAGCACTGGGATGGCAGAGGTGGTACCACAATGCCTCTTTTAGGAGTTGGTAAGAATCCATCACTTAAACATTTATCCATTTTTATATATGGGGCAGCAAAAATGGATTTGAGTATCTTCAGATGCTTTTGATATCTATTACTTTCAAAAATAACTTCTTTAAATTAAAGTTCTACATACAACCTATGTTATCTCAGAAGCACTGTGCTTAGGTTTAGCATCAGGAGAGACCTCACACAACATTCATTCATGTATATTAATTAAAGACATCATTTTGTGTTGTGTTAACACTCTTTTTATGCTGCAGTATATTAGCATACCACTGCGTAACATGGATATAAGTTGTGCTGGAGTTGGTAGGATTTGAGATGGTGCTTAAGTGTTCTGGTGAGTTATGATGGGAATATGCAGTACAACATTCATGAATAGCTCAGGATAGATATGTCACTTTTCTGGTGTAGCTATGACATATTTAAAAGAACAGATTAAAGTTAATAGTTTTACAACCTCTCACCACTATCTCAATCCACATAATGTTTCATTCCTGAGCTCTTTTGTTCAAGGCATAACATCTCTGGGGACACAGACATTCCTTTGCTCTGTGCTTGTGCAGTGCCTTGCCCAGTAAGTTTGCTATTCTGTGCCTCCTGGCCTGCTTTGTCTCTCATTCCCTGAATGCTCATGTTTGGTAAGCATCCTCTGGGAAGCAAACATTCCCCGTGCCTTCATCTGCAGAGTACTTTGTGTTTTCCCCGTAGACATCAGTGTCTGGCCTTCACAATCAATGTCCAAGGCTGCAGTGATTATATTCAAAACAAAGAAGTGATTTCATGGGTTGGCATGCTTCATTTCCAGATCTCTGCTGATGCTAGTGTCTCCTAGTGTGCATCTTTTTCCACGGGTGCCTTGCTATGACTTCAGTCTGCTGCACTTTTCCATCAAGTGCTGTCTTTCATTACTTAGGCATATTTTACAGTAATTAGCTCTTAACTACTGTTAACCCAGACTTGCTTTCTGAGCTTTTTATTACTCTCACACAAAATCCTTGTGCATTCTGTGCTGCATGCTGAGCAGTCAAATCTCCAAGTACCTTCATAACACTGTATTATTTTGCAAGTGCAGTTAGAATAAACAAGAATTTTTGCTCAAGTACTAATGGAACTGATGCCTCTTCTCTATGGAAAACTGTCATGATCTGCTGGAAGAGTAATTGTGCATGTGAGTAAAGAGAGAGGTGATCTGACCACTATGGAATATAATGAGCTTGAAATGCCTTTAAACCAGAAGGATGACTGAGAAATAGGAATTAGTCTTGTTTAATTACTCTAATTGAGAGACCCACATCTAATTTCAGATTGTGAATTTGTCAAATTACAGTAGACCAGCCCCACAGTACTCTCTGTGTCCTTTCTTAAGTGAGTGGGGAGATGTGTTAATGATGAAAAGAACAGGAGGAAAAAAAAAGGGGATATTCAGTAGTCTGTGTCTTTCTTCTTTGAAGGTTTATTCAGCATCATTTTTTCAGTGTTTCTTAAACCCTTGCAAAGGGATGAGGGGAGAAGAAAACCCAGTGAATAATGGAGCTGAACTAAGTCTTGACCTGACTAAAAATAAATTTATAGAAGACATTTATTTTTATAAGGCTGTTCTGTCTTTAGATAAACCACTTGTGATTTTAAACTATACTTCATTCTCGAGCCAGCATTTTAGTGTAATTTATTCTTGACTACAATAGCATAATCAGGGAAATATCACTGAAGTGGCAGCCAGATCTTTGAATTTCCTGCCTTTTCTGGGACTTGCTTTTAAATTATAAGAGAAAAAAATTCATTTTGATGTATTTGGATTCTTAAAGATCCAAAATCCTTAAAGCATTTTCAGTTCTCTCTATGGCCATTCCTGGAGTTGATCAGTAGTAACTGTCAGCTGACATGACTTGAGCATGGTTTTTAATTCCATATCTGTGAGGGAACTTTCCAATCTAATAATGATCTGATAAGCTGCTCACTGCCAAAATTGCCCCTCCATGCTATATTTTTCCTTACCCTTGAGCATCTTATCTTCTCATTATCACATCTAAGCTTTAATTGCCATTGCTTGCCCTTTTCCTCCTGCTTCACATTTAAATGCGTGTTGGGTAGTTTACAGGATTCATTATAGGTATTAAGTAACATTTAGTAATGTTACAACCTGATTTTATAGACTTCCCTTCACATTTTAAACACATAAAATGCTTTAGATTTGTAAACGTCTGAAAAGAGCTACCAGAAGCAGTCAGAAGATACTGTTCCTCTTTTGGATTCCACTTGATTACTATGAGGAGACATTATCCAACAGTAGCAGCCCAGTTGTCCGTGTGCTCTGCTGATGCTGCGGATGATGCCAGCTAACCCTCACAGCTTACCTAATGACCAAGGTGATAAAAAAGACTATGAGGTTATTTTCTGATTATTGTAGTCTCTGCCTTCTGTCTCTTGAAGGAACGTGGGCTACTGATTTATTTTAAATATCTTAACTAATTCCTAACACATTACAACAGGTTGACTGAGGTTTGGTGTGTTACTGAACTCTGTTCATGTGCACACATGTGCTTTTCTGAATGTGAGTTATTGCCAATATCTTGAGTGTACTATTAACTTTCTCAAAAAACAAAAGCTTTGTTTAATGAGGTTTGCAGATGTGTAGTTTCACCCTGCTGCTGCTTCTGGCTTATCTGAGTCCTAACTCAAAATCTTTGTGCTCAAATGGCTCTTAGCAGTTTTTTTCCCTCACTTATGTTTATTAGTGTCCTGTGTATACTCTGCTGTTTTCTACCTCTCTTATTACTTGAAGTCTTCTTATGGAAGATATAAGTTACAAAATTTGGTGTTAATTATAAGATGTAATACTTTCTGTGACTCTGAAAAACACCTGTAAGTGTGATACGGATACTGTTTGATGTAATGAGCTAAACTGAAAGATTTTGTACATGACTTCTTGCCATTTGGTGCACATCAAAACTAAACCTCAGTCCTTCAGTTCACACTTCTCAGAAATGGAACTTCCTCATTCATAGCTACAGCATCATTGGATTTCATTACTGGATGTTTAACCACAATAAAATTTTATGAAGTCTATGATGCATTATAAAGTTCTGTGGGAGGCAAAAATATTTTGAGTTTCTGAGTTTGAAACGTTGCTCCATCAAACCCTTTGCCAGCTGTCCCTGTAACTGGAATTGTCTCAGTGTCCCTGAGCATCTTCCAGTAAATGAACTACAGACATCATGAGCACTGGGTGCCTGCTTTGCTTGCCAATGGTGAGTGTACATAGTTTTCACATAAGGCATCTTCCAAAGAACAGATTTAATTCAGAATGATTTAAGAAGTTCAGCCATAGGGTAAGAATAATGATAGGAAGCTTTGGAGGAAGTTGTAAGAAACTGGGGAGAATAATTTGGAAAGAAAAGGTCAGTGTGGTTTTGTGACACAGTATAAAAAAGCAGATCTGTATCCAAGGTGCAGCAGTAGGAAAAATTCATTGGAACCCACATTATCCTTTCTCAGTAGCTCTGCACATAATCTCCCTTCCAGTTTCACCCTTCCTCTTGCTACAAGCATCACTCAGCCTCCAGTTTGGTTGAAGGAAAGTCCATGAGCACGTGCCAAGCCACCAGGGTCACTTTCTAATTCTCACACTTTCTGAAAGTTATTTTTGTGGACTTTTCTCTTCTTTGGTGCTTTCTGCAGGCATCTGAGTGTAGAAGTGCTCTTCTTTTCCACCGCATTGCTTTCCTCTGTATGCCCAGTGCGGTTAAAAGCTGGTCGGTAGTCTGGAAATGAAGTCATGAGGATTATTCCAAAGGACAGAGTTTTGGAGCAGAAGAGAAATAAGAGTTTGTTCCATGAGGCTTTTCAGATATTCACAGGAATTAAAGGAGAGTCAATTGACTGTGGTTTTATTACCTTTGCTATTTTACAGGGGTATCAGGAAAGAAAACCCTGATCTTGAGTTTGAAGATGGGGATGCATTTTACATAGTGTCTGCAAAGTGGGTTTTAAACTGCTCAAAGTCAAAAATAAGTACTTCTGTAGATGTTTCTGCTTTTCCTTTTCCCAAATTTGTGGTTTCTAACCACACAATCTGTCTTTCTTTTCTCTAGGGCTTCATTAGGATGTTTAGCATCGGTTACCTGATCCAGTGTTGCCTTCGGATTCCATCCACCTTTCGGCATCTGTTTACACAACCATCCCGGCTACTTTCCCTCTTCTACAATAAGGAAAACTTTCAGCTTGGAGCTTTTCTGGGATCTTTCGTCAGTATATACAAGGTAAGCTTAAAACAGAGAGAAATGGCAAATGCCATGAGTTTTAATTCGCTTTTCAAATGTTACAAAGAGCTAAAAAGTCTAGCCACTGAATATTACTGGTAGTGTTTGCTCTACAGCAACAAATTCTATAGTATTGCAGTAACCAAATCATAAACAGAAAACTAGTCTTCCATTCTGTGTGCTCTGTCTGTCATTTCTGAATAAACCAGATGGATTGTGCAGCACGGTGTCAGGATCAGGAGACAGGGAGTACTTCAGAGAAAGTGAATTCATATTTCAAAGTGACTTGCTGTTCCACAACAGTATTTTAGTGCAGGCACAAGTAGTGACTGCAGTAGCAGCAGTGTTGCCACAGAGGAGCCATCTGCAGATTGGTTTTGGCTCAAATATCTGGAATTCTTACTTGACGCTAAATAGCTGGAGGTTGCGGAACATGTTTCGCATGCAGCTGAGGGGACATTGCACTTACCACTTGGAAATGTACCCTTCTACACCATTCTAAAACAACAGGTTGCAAACTGATGGGCATTCACACAGCATTGTTGGGATTAATCAGATGATGTTTGTTTATGCCAAAAGAGAATGTGACAAAGCACACGCCCTAAGGGAGAATATATTAAATAGTGCTGTGCTGAAGTGGCTTTTGCACTTCTACAGCCTTAATCACACATGTTGTTTTTCAACTGCCACTTTACTGGCTCTGCAAAGTGAAGATAATTCTGTATTATTCTGTGTAAATATTACTTAGTGAAAATTAAAGCGAGTGTTATTTGTAAGCAAAACAGCATTTCACGTGACTTGGAGTCACGTTGAGAGACAAGAATTTGTAAGGTTACAGAGTTTAAAGTCTCTGATGGCAAAGTGTAAATGGGCTGGTCAGAGTTTATTTGAAAAATACATTTTTGCTCCAGCTTTAAGAAAAGAGCCTTTCCTGTAAAGGAAAATATTTAAATTGTGAAAACTGAAATAATTTTGATGTCTTTTAAAGGCTTCAGTTGCAAAGTGTAATTTCAGTTTCATAGATACTAATTTTACAAGGGTGATGTGCTCTAACCTTTACTTATAGTAAGTAAAGGAGAGTATAGGAGCTGAAATACAGGAGATTCCAAAGAAATATAAGAAAATACATTTTCATGTGGGGCTGGCCAACACTAGGAACAGGTTGCCCAGTGAAGCTGTGTACTCTCCATACTTGGAGGTGCTCAGAACTGAACTGGACGGGTTCCTGAGCTTTCTGCTCGAATTAGATGTGCTTCAGGCTGGAGCAGATGATCTCTAGAGATCCCTTCCAACATAAATCATTCTTTGATTCCATGAAGAGCACACATTAGATGGATTAAGAGGCTGACACACATATCTCAGAGTAGACATCAGTGGGTTGTGATACTGAACAGTATAATGTTCTGTCTTGTGCCGTCAGCACTGGATTGGGCTTTACTGAGTAGATCTCAAACCATTTAGAAGCAAACAAATTTACCAGGGGTAAAATTTGAAGACAAAGTATGGCTTTCCAAAACAGTTGAACAAAACAATGCAGAGGATATGGCAGATGTGGAACAATATGGATCATTTGGTAACATTCAATCATCCAAATGAAACACATTTTAATGCAGCCTAAGCCACAATTACTTACATCCATTCTGGCCTGGGCAGCTGTGTATTGTTGTCAGTGTCAACAAACAGGTTATTGACAATTTCATGGTGTCTTTTAGCCATATGCAGTTCTAACATTTTAGATTAATGTGTTTTCCTAGTTCCAGAATATATTAGATGTATGGAAAAACCTCAAAATGTTTGGTGTGTAGTTGAAAACAGACTTTATCATGGGAAAGTCTAGACAATTACAGCAAATAAAGATGATGTGAATTCAAGATTAGCTTTGGAATTGGATTGTTATTGAAATTGCATTAATCTGCTCTCTGATTTTGAAAGAAATGGTAGTGGTAAACTGTTAATTAAAACACTGAAATATTTCACGTACTGTGGATTATGGGTATTTTTACATTACACTCTTAATTCATACTGTGGGCTATATTACTAGCTTATAGAGGAGTATCTCCAGTCTGTGTGTTATGAAAGAGAAATAACTAGGGCTAATCCTGCTCTCTGGTCACCTGCAGGGTACTAGTTGTTTCCTGCGCTGGGTACGAAACCTAGATGATGAGCTTCATGCACTTGTGGCTGGTGAGTCCATGAAAAGTTTCCATTGCCTCTGTTGGGACTCTGCCTCTTGTCTGTGCTGCCATTCCTTTTTCAGACTCCTGTGATGAAAGTAGAATGTGTACGTCAAGGTTGTGTCATGTTTCAGGTAGCTTCAAATAAAGAGCTGCAATTAAAATTGCAAGGCAAATTCAATCCAGTGGTGTGGGTTTTATGGTCAGCTTCAAGGACTGTATACAAATGTGAACTTGTCCTTTATTTTCCAACTGTAGAGGTGTGAGGTTCAAATACTCACTCTTCGATACATGATGGAAGACCCAGTTGGAAGGATGGGCTCCACCGGATCCAAAGAGGGACCCTTTGCCATGAAATCTGTGTGTGGTGCAGGCCCTTCCCTGCTGTTTGTGCATCTGTCACTTACTGGAACCTTAAGGGTCTCTCTTCTTTGTGGGATGAGAGAGGGAATTTAAGCCCTGAACTGCAGCTTTGTTTCAGGGTTTCAAAACTCTCTTGTTAATGACAAAATCCATATTTTGATGGGCAGCACAGGGACATCACTGAACTTTGTTGCAGCAACAGAAAACAATCTTGTGCAGTGTCTCCTTGTGCAGCTGACATCCTGCAACATAAATCACAATCTTAACAATACCTTTCTGTTCTTATTGTTACAGGATGTCTAGCAGGAATTTCCATGATGTTTTACAAAAGTACTACTATCTCAATGTATCTGGCATCCAAATTAGTAGAGGTAAGATGCTACCCTTGTAACAGAGCTCTTTATTTCATCTGTCTTTTCAAGGCAGAAAAAGAAAATGACCTGCACAGGCTTAGCTGGACAATTCCAGTATAATACAAAGTTGTGTGGCAGTGGTGTGTTTCAATAGGTGTGTGCCAAGAGGCAGTGCCATTCCGTGGTCTCATTCCTGTCTTACTTTCTTTACTATGACTCATTTTAAAAGTCCTTTACCCACTGGTCTCCATGTATGTTCTCCATGAATCTGATAGCCCTTTGCTTTGTAGCTTTTGCAGATTTTTTAAATCTGGAAGTTCCAAGAATGTCTATTCTGCCAGAAACATAAATCAGACCTAGTCCTTAATTGCAGATTTATTGCCAAAAGCTACAGCTTCACTTCCTGCCTTTGTTCCCTAATTTTGGCATTCAGCGATCTGAGATAACTCAAAATAGCTTAGGTTTTGGTCTATAGCTGGAGCTGTTTGTCACTGTACTTCAACTGATTGAATTCCCAGCTTTGCAATGAACTTCGTTCTACTTACTGTTTTTCAGGCTTGAATTATGACTATGAATTTGTTAAAATGAGGAGCCCAGGGAAGAATAAAGTTTGTAGAGTTTGGGTTTGTTGATGAAACTTTGCTAAACAGTTTCTGATGTCTTACTGTGCTTTTTCTATAAAATCAGGACTTAGTCATGGTTATTTCCCCAACAACACCACTGGAATAAGTTGGGAGGATTCTGCTATTATGTATCATTCCCAAATCACAAAGTTTTCTCCTGCAGACCTCAAGGGCCTCATGTCCTAGTGATATTTATCCACTTCCACTACAGAATTCATTTCAATGAATATAAAAAGAAGGAACCTTTATTCTTGTGAAGCATAAAACTAAACATTAAAAGGGAAGATATCCTCTGTTTATTCTTGCTCCTTGTAATCCTAGATCAAGCTCTGAAGGTAGTTCACATGTTGTTATATAAAAGCAAATCTGTGTTATCCATATTGATTTTTAGAACATCAGTTGTAAAAAAAAAAACCCAGTATTATCTTATATTGCTGATGGTTTTCTCTGGACTTTGAGACCTTGTGGCTGCAGTGAAATAAGAAAAGTGCTGTGTGTTCTTTCTTGCTTTTATCATCTTACGCAAGCCAAGGGTAACTGACCGAAGAGGCGTGTGCTGCTTTGGAAGGTCAAGCTGTGCTCTGGAAAATAAACTTTACATGTTTTCTCAGAAAGTCAAGTATGTGATTTCAAGCTGTTTAAGAACAGTGAATATTCACTTTGTTGGAAGAGTTATTGCATTGTTCTTTTGCTTTTTTAAAATGAAGAATTCAACACAGCAAACTTTCCCTTTTTTATCTCTGAGATCTGTACTACCCTTTTTAACACCCAAAGCTGTTGCTAGGTCCTGTTCTATGCATTAATAGCCTCTCACTTTACTGATCTTGGGTAACCTCTATAAGCCATCTCAGTCAGTGTCACATTTATGGACATACACAAAAATCTAGGAGCATAGGTTAGTAATGTTGACACGTTTTTTTGAAATGATAAAATAAGAAGTAAAAAGCTAGTTTTATTTTGCTTCACTCAGCATTTTTTTGTTTATTTTTATAGACTATATACTTCAAAGGCATTGAAGCAGGAAAGGTTCCCTATTTTCCTCATGCAGACAGCGTCATCTATGCCATTTCCACGTCAATATGCTTTCAGGCAGTAAGTATGACATTCTTTAAGTCAAATGCTGGATGAAATGAGGAGCACAGGGTTACAGTGATTCCAGCAAGATTCCATGAATCAGGGCTCCTGCTTTTGAGTGTCAATGTGGGAAGATTATTTCTAGGACTTAGATTCCTAATATGCTTGTGGCTGAATACATTATACAGAGCACTGAATTCTTTGGAAAGGATCTTAAAATGCATTGACCCAGAGGATGAACATAAATGCATGGACTTTTGTAAGCATATGAAAGGACAGTTTGTCAAGGAGACAAATAATATATTGTGATATTTTATACCCATAAAATTTTTAATATCCATAAATTTTTTAATCAACTGGAAGTTTTCACTTTCAGCTAACTTGAATTAAAGTTGCCTGTTTGAAATATCTGCCAAAGTTAGTAAGAAAATCTGTAGGTTTATGTTCCAACAAGCTGTAGTTACCATCTTTTCCACTTCCCAAGTCAGTTACATGCCTTCAGCCTCAGTCCTCTTACCAGCTGCATCAGCTGGAAAGCTCCTTTCACTGGTACCCAGATGACTCTGCAATTCTACTACATCTCTCCATTTCTAGACCTGCTGCTGAAACATCCCACTGCATGTTTTCTGGACCTCCAAAACTATATGTGTTTTTTATACTCCTCTATAAAGATAATACAAAATGACCCTAAAGCAGTCTTTCCTGCTTAACAGGACAGTGCCACTCCTCCTCCCCGTTGCTCCCAAAGGGAGTATCTCTCATTCTGGTATCAAAGAGAACTGATATTTTAATGCTTGGGATGTGCCTAAAGGTCTGCAGCACTGAGATCTCCAAAATAACTATTGGCAAGGACTGTCATATCAGGCTAACATAAATAATGTTCATATGAGGAAAGAGGAAAGCATTTTTCATTACTTAATAACTGATTGGAAAAAGACTCCAAGAATAGAAATAAATTGCTAGGTTATAGGAGGGAGGAAGGAAGGGGAAATTAGCAAAGGGATCTGTGCTGAGACATTTGTTACTCGCTATATTCATAAGTGACCTGGAAAAGTAATGAAACAGAAGACAGGGATTTTGGTTACATAACATTAGTTAAGATATATAAAATAAAATCTAAAAGTGACTACAAGAAATGGTAGATCTCAAAATGCAGAGTGGGATAAAATAGCAGGTAAATTTGGCATCCACAAGTGCAAAATCATGTGTGTAGGAATAATAAGGATTATTGCTGCTTTCTCTGCAATGAGAACTAAGTTATCTGCCACCACTTTTGCAAGGTAGTCTTGTGGGAGTATGAGTATGCTGGTGGTGGTCATAGAGAGCGTTGCGTTCAGCTGTGAGCTGCTTGTCTGCTGGTAGTTCTGGCCATTGGCAGGTGATCCCAGCTGCTTTCAGCCCATCTCCATTAGGAGATGATGTTTTAAAAATTAATTTAAATATATATATATGTATATTTCCATAACTATCCTTTCACTGGGTTTGGCAATGTTCTGTACAGCTGAAGCTTTTCCCTGGCACTCAGCAGGCTCTGACGCAGTTCTCTCCTTGTAGGCTGTCATGGAAGTTCAGAACCTGAGACCTTCGTACTGGAAGTTTCTTTTACGACTAACAAAGGGCAGGTATGTAGTCAGGGGTATGTTATGGCTTTTTTCAAAAAGGTATGTTATTGCTTGTCCAAACACATCATTGATCACACTCAGCCTTCCATGTCATTTGCTGTCAACAGCAGAGCTGTAGTAGCACATATGGGCTAATTTCCTGGGTATTTACTTTGCTATTCAGCTGCTTTCCAGTCCACTGGAAGTTCTTTGCTCCTGAAGTGACGTTGCTGGGTTTAGTCTAATGACAGGAGCAAAGACTTAAATCCAGTTAAGACTATTTAGTAGATGAGGGTTTTACTTGAAGCCTTTTTTATCTTTAGTTCACTTGGAAGGTGAAATGCTTTCAGATTTCAGTGGAATACAAAGAATTCAGTAAACAACTATACAGACTAAAGAAATCAGTATGTGCAGTGATTGCCAACATGGTATTACTACATGTTTAATAGCATTACTAGAAATGTCAGAGTATTTCCTAAGAATACTTTGAAGATGCAATAGGGTGTTTTTATAGGCCATCTATTGAAATTCAGAAAGGAATCTTTTTTCCTTGGGAAACTAATGAAAAATTTCCACCAATTATAACCATCATTTCACACGGTAATATCTTTCTGGATATTTTTCCTCTATTTGCTGCAGGGATCTAAAATGACGACCCTTTAAAACAGATTTTGCTGTAGCTGAGTTCTAAAAATACAATTTAGTGAAGTGTGCACTATTACACTGATGTGTAAGGCATCAGTGCAAACATCAGGAACAAGGCTTCCAAATCTCAGTGTAGATCGGGTTAGGAATGGGATTATAAAAGGTAACATCTGTCATGACAGTGGGCTCTCCAGACGATAAAAACACAAGTGAAATCAGAGGCCAGTCCCTGCAGCATGTTGAACCTGCACTCCCCATGGCACAGCACACTCTGAGCTGGACAGGAGGTGACTGAGTACACTACTGGACATCGTAGGCGCCTTTTGGGATGCTTGGAGGCAACCTCTGAGGCCATACAGACATGATACAGAGCTGACATCAATGCATATGTCCAATATTGGACATTTTTTCCCTCTTTTGGAATTACTGGAAATAATTGAAATTGAAATAGTGAAAAATCGAAAAAATTGAAATATTGGAAATTTTTCCCTGTTTTGCTAATCTTAAGATTGCTTTAGTTGAAAGAGAGGAGGGAAAAGAAATTCCATTCTGCTCATTTCTTTTGTCTGAAGCAAATGCCTGTAGTAGTAATTTTAACACTCCATACAGGTGATTTCTTTTGACATTCCATAGGTCTTTCACTCTACAGTTTTGAATATAAAGAAATGGAAATAGATTGTAACACCTGTAAAATTGTTTCCCAGACATGGGCAGGCTTGGCCAGAGTTTGCTCTGCTGGCATGAGAGAGAACAGCAGTGTGTTTTGTTTGACCTTTGCTTGGGGAGTTAGAAGTAGAATAGGGCTCTCCCCTTTCTCACAAGTGTGTTCTATGAGTACACCTACCCAGAGCACTACCAAACACGTGTCAAATGTGGTTTCTTTTTAATCTTTATTGCCCGAGAGGAAAAACTTGCAGTTTCTAAACAGTGCAGGCCTGTCTATAAAGATTGGGTAAAGGTATATTAATATTTCATGAAATGAAATCATTTCAACAATAATTTTACTGTTTAAATAGTTAAATGAATAATCCATTCCTGCCTTCATGTCTCTTCTTTTCCAGGTTTGCTCTCATGAACCGGAAAGTTTTAGATGTATTTGGTACTGAAGCATCTAAGAACTTCAAGGATTTCACACCTAAGCTTGACCCAAGACACACTGTTGTACCACCAGAGCTACCGTTAGAGCTGTCTTGAACACAATAGTATATCTTGTCATTGAATGTGATCAGCTTTTTGTCCTGAGAAGTTAATTAACTTAACAGTCGTATATATGGAGGAGGGCTTGGGCTCCACTTCAGTATTATTTCAATGAGAAATGCTTTTTACCAATCAGAAGTACTGAAGCTTTGCAGGAAAGTGTGGCTTAATGATTAAGCCCCTTCCATAAGCAGAAACTATTTTTGGATTACTGTAGTTGGTTGGCAGTCTGGTAGATTCCTGAATGAATTAAACAAATGAGTAACATATTTAGAGAAGTAAAGTATAAATTATACATAACAACTTCCAAAAATTCTGTAGTTCGCACTAGTAAAACTAAAAGTAATTCTTAATTTAGAAAGGAAGACAGTTTGGCATAGTTTAGGTCCAGAATTTTACCTGATCTTACAACTATTGCAGTCAGGTGGAAATGCCTCCTTGGATTTCTAAACTGTGTCACTGCCCACTGGTTATTTAAAACAGCAGTATTTTTACACAGCTATAGCTGCAAAATAAGGGATTCCTTTGGAAAAGAAAATGCATGTTAATACAGAAACCACATTCCAGGGCTGTGAATCCCACTGGCAATGCGGATAACAGAGAAGGCAAGTGGGAAGGCTACTACTGGTGGCTGCTGCGTGGCGAGGAGCAGGGAGTGTGGCGGTCGGGATCTGCCAAGTGGAAAATGACAGGAGCAGTGGAGGAAGGAATGAAACATTCCGGGCTCTGAGATGGTGCTGGAAACAGCCGTCAGTTCCAGACCTAAAAAAAGCCAAGAACAAAATAAAACTCCCCCAAAATACACCGAAATAAAATGTTTGTTTTTAAAGGGCTCGACACTGTCACTTTAGATGGCATGGGGTTGTTTGTCAGGCTGCAGCGCCAGCCAGCATTTCAAGTGTTTCTTTTAAAGAGAGCTGACCCCCTGAGGTTAGGCTCAGAGAATAGTTTTGATGGTCGTTTTAATAGTATTTTTATCTTGTACCTGGTGAAAAGTGGTTTTCCATCAAGCCATCAGCCACGACTGGGACAGGTACGCTCAATTTAATGGGGTACTCAGTGCAAATAACTACCTTCACAAAGTCCATCTCAATTTTACCCTGAGTATTCCTGCAGATAAAGAGTTTGTGCTCTAAAGCGAGACCTTGATGTGCTAATTGCTGCTTGTTTGTGCTTTTTGGGGCTCATTTTTGTTAGAATTCATTCAGATGATGCTGAATGGTGGTCATTACCTAGAGCTTAAGGAAAAGATGAGCTATATTCACATTCAACTGAAGAGAGACCAGGTAAGCCAGGGAATGGAAATCGCAGCAGGTTGCATGTGTTTTAAAAAGAAAAAAGAACAAGAAATCAGGATTTTATTGGGAGTCTTTGTCAGATGCTATGAATTGGATTAATGAATAGAATCTTTGTCTTGTAACGCAGCCTTAAGCATATTTTAATTCCCACTAGTTTTCTTATTACTGAATATACAGTCATTTTTATCAGATTTGTAGAAATGTCATGAGAATTGTACCTGTCTGTGCACAAAACCTTCTTCTTCATCAGCTACTGCAACAGTGATGCTTTATTGCTGGTACTAAAGGTGCTTCATCCGTTCAAACAGCAGTTGTCCAAGTTAGTGTGAATAAAGTTCTGCAAGCTAGTTTGTATGCAATATTTTATTGCTTGAAATCTTATATTAAAATTCCTCAAAAGGAAATAAAAAGTTAATTCAACAAGAACTTTTAAAGGATCGTAATAGGTTTGTAGTGTTTTTCCACTGGAATATGGTCTGAAATATTTGACCTTGTAAAGTCTGAGAAGTTATATATTTTAGGTAATACGTTAGAACTTACACACTATATTATGAATACTTTGTAGTGTAACTATGTACCATTCCCGAACTGAAAGATATTTTATAGATGGATTCGTTTTCTTCACTGGAATGACACTTGTGATTGTTTCTCTATTTGAAGTAAGAAAAATCCAAGTACTACATCTCAGCAGCTAAACTCCAGTTTTGTCTGTGTTTTCCTGCTTCCACAATCCACAGTCCTTGTAGCAAATTATTTTCGTGTAATATAAAGAGAAATTAAAAAGTTATAAATTATTTTTATTCAGATCAAGTATATGTAAGAGGAAAAAAAAATAAAGTCCTAATGTTTTTCCCAGTAATAAACAGTTGCTGCTTGAAAATGTGACTTTTTGTCTATGTTGTTGTTAATAAGCCTTCTGGAGTCATAAGTGAAGTCATACTTGGTGGTGAAGGAATGCCAGGAATGTGACTGAGCAGTTAAATTGTATGGATTTGTTACAAAATACAGTGCTAACACAGTGTAAGTGAAGAGGTTATGCCAAAAGGAACAACTCCAGCTCTGTGCTCCCATGGGTAGTCACATAGTATGGGTGGAGGTTATGTCGTGATGAGCAGAGAGCCCCAAGCTGGTGGTGAAGGCTGTGGAAAGCTGCACGGCTCCAGCTCTGCCCGTGGCTGAAATAGCAGTGATTCCTCCCGCCTGATGTGGTGCAGCTCCTCGGGGGTTTCATCATGTGATGGGTGTCTGCCTGAGCACGTCAAACTTCTTGCCAGTAGAAGCTGATGTTGTAAAGAGGAACACGGAGGGAAACTTGCTCCGTGGATCAACCTGTAGAGATTCTGTTTAGGCTGGCTATAGGGAAGAAATTCTTCCCTGTGAGGGTGCTGAGGCGCTGGCACAGGGTGCCCAGAGAAGCTGTGGCTGCCCCATCCCTGGCAGTGTTCAAGGCCAGGTTGGACACAGGGGCTTGGAGCAACCTGCTCTACTGGAAGGTGTCCCTGCCTGTGGCAGGGGGGTGGAACTGGAGGAGCTTTAAGGTCCCTTCCAATCCAAACCAGTCTGGGATTCTAAATACTGTCTGGAGGTTTCCATTTCCAGATTCGTGTTTCTAAGCAGTAAACCCTTCACCAAGGAGACTGTCATTTCCTTCAGCCCTTGCTCTGCACCCACAAGAATCCAGCACTGGGGGTACTTGCAGGTGACTAAGTTTGGGGATCTCACTTTCACAAGTCAATTCCATTTCCAGAACAGACATGTTTTCTCCCACTCCTTTGGGGATACAATGGAGTAATTTGACACTTTCCCTTGAGCCATACAGTTTGATGGTCTTACTATTTAGTAGGAGATCCTGAATGTTCTGTTTATCCTGTAGGTACTTTTACAGGAAGATCTGAGGCAAGGATGTATTTTGTAAGGAGCCTAAAATTGCCATTGTGGATGTACTGGCAAATCACGCTTCACTCTCCCTTGCTGTTATCCATGTTGAAATGGGATTGCTTCACCGGGCACACAGCACCCACCTTGCGGGTGATGGATTATGTCCTTCCACCTCCATCAAACATGACACTTGTTTTACCAACAGGCTCCTTTGAACGAGGAAACAGAAACATGAATTAGAGCCCACTTTGATCTTAAGGACTCTTTTTTTTTTTCCTGGCACAGCCCCGGGAGTTTTCCACTTGCTAATTAAGACAGAGAGTGGTCAGAGGAATTCTAACTATTAATGCCAAGGCTTTACCCAGGGTGGAAGAGGCGGGTTGGAAATCCAGGAGGACGATTAAGCTTCTCACCCTGGAGGAATCCAGTCGATGTTTTTTCCCCTCAGCTGCTGCAGAGGAGACATAAAAGATTGCTGTGGCTGTTGGAGCAGGAGCCGAAGGGACTGCTCTCAAGGCTGCTTGAAGGTGACAGAAGACCCAATCACACACGGTCAGGGACAAAAGCAAAGCCTTTTTCTGTGTTTTCCTATGATTTTGAAGAGTGAGGTCCTGCTTTCCCGTTGCAGGCGGTAACAGCTTGTGAGAAGCGGCAGATGGGGCTGGGGTGAACAGGTATTAAACTGCTGCTGTTTGCACCCTTTAGATAGGAACTCAAGCAGAGTTCTGAGCAGCATGGAGATGTTGTTTGGCTCATTGTGTTTTGGCTGTGAGTAAAAATTAATAAATAATCAGGTATTTCCAGACCGGGTCACTTGTGGTTATATTCTCAAGGTGGTTTGATAGAATCATAGAACCAACTGGGTTGGAAAAGACCTTCAAGATCATCAAGTCCAACCTTTGCCCCAGCACTGCCAAGGCCACCACTAACCCATGTCACTGAGGGACTCATCTACACAGTTTGTGAACACTTGCAGGGACGGTGACTCCAGCCCTGCCCTGGGCAGCCTGTTCCAATGCCTGAGCACCCTTTGGGCAAGGAGTTGTTCCTCAGCTCCAGCTAAACCTGCCCTGGTGCAGCTTGAGGCCGTTTCCTCTTGTCCTGTCACTTGTTACTTGGGAGAAGAGACCAACCACCTCCTCTCTCCATCAGTGTCTCAAATCACTGATGTCTCAAGCTGTCTTGCACCAAAATGCTCTTACGTCTCCTCAGACACAAATAGTATCACAAACAGTTTGAAACCAAGGCAGAAAGTGACTCCGTGGTTCACCCGTGACATTTTCTGTGTGGTTCCACAGCCCGGCTGGAGGGGACAGCTCCCGCTGGCTATGAGCTCTGCTTGCCCTCGCCTGCATCTCCTGCACCACATGGCCTTGATTCCCCAGCCAACATACCAGGGGTGATGCAGAAGGCCAGGTTAGATGGGGCCTTGAGCAACCTGCTCTAGTGGAAGGTGTCCCTGCCCATGGCAGGGGGTTGCAACTGGATGAGCTTTAAGGTCTTTTCCAACCCAAACCATCTGCCCACTCGCAGCCTGCTGAAATCAGGGCAGGAAACCAGTGGCCTGCAAGAACTATCTCCACATCACCAAGCCCAAGGCCACTCGCCACCACAGGCTTCCTCTGAGGTCTTGGAGCCTGTTTCTCGAGGAGTCAGCCTGGATGATTAGATCAGTCCCATCGCACTGGGCTGTGCCAGACTGGCTGCTGTGGTCAGAGCCGTGCTCGATGGCCTCCTGCAACTCGCAGCACATAGAACAAAGCTGCACTGATGAAAAGCCTCCCCCTTTGACAGTTGTCACGGGTTAAGTGACAATAATGCTCTTCACATGTTGGCCTGCCTGGAAGTGTGGCTCCATGGAGTCTCTGATGATCAGCTGCTTTGTGAGCACAACCTTGGGCTTCATGTTCACTGTTCTGTAGCTCCAAGTAGGTTCAAACTTAAACAGGGGAGGTTCAGGTTAGATATAAGGAAGAAGTTCTTCACAGTGAGGGTGGTGAGGCACTGGAATGGGTTGCCCAAGGAAGTTGTGAATGCTCCATCCCTGGAGGTGTTCAAGGCCAGGTTGGACAGAGCCTTGGGTGACATGGTTTAGTGTGTGGTGTCCCTGCTCATGGCAGGGGGGTTGGAACTGGATGATCTTAAGGTCCTTTCCAACCCAAACCATTCTATGATTCTATAGAAGGAGTCTGGAAAACAGCCTTTGCAGTGCTCCTGTAGGAAGCTCTACGCTGAAGTCTTGCTCACCTCAGCTG